GTCTTCCTGTTGCAGCATCTGGATGGGCAAATGAAAATGGCCCTCCTCTTCCTCCTCCTCTTCCTCCTCCTCTTCCTTCTTCTCTTTCTTCTCTGCCTCCTTGTCTTGCTCCTCTGCCTCCTCCTCTGCCAAATGCTGCAGACACATTGCTTTGAATTTCAGCCATAGCACCCGCCATTTAGCAAAGCTCCTCCAAGCTCCAGGAGCTCTCGAGCCTCAGGTACTCAATCAGTCAACACGCTGGAGGACCTCAAACCACCATAAAAACTTCATGACAATTTCCACTCTGAGGCACTAAGCACCAACATATAGAAATGAGTTTCTAAATCAAAATTCAGCCTTTTTTAAAAAAAAAAACCAACAAACAAAAAAAACACACAAACAAACCAAACCAAAACAAAAAAAACCCAGAACTAAGAGCTGTTGCAGGACAGGGGGCTGTGGACACTACTTTGTTGCACCAAGTGGCGATTGCAGCAGGTGGGAGAAATGGAAACACTCCCTCTGCCCAGAACACCCTGACCAGAGATCAAGATTAGGTGAAGAATTGCCAAATTCTGAACAAGCTGTTACCAGCAAAACCTGTGAATAGGTTACATCTCTGCAGCTAATTCTGTACAGAGAGTGCACCCCAGGAGCCTTCTGCTAAAAAGAAAGGCTTTGGGCATGGGCACCTCTGCCATGAGACGGAGCTCAGGCCCGCGGGGTGACGGGGGCCTGGCCGTGGGGCTGTGTGGGCACCGTGCTGAGCCTTCCCTAAGGCCCCTCAGACAAAGGCAGCGAGCAGGGTTTCGGGGGAAGGGGGTGGTGGCATTGATGGTTTTGGAGGCACGGGCAGGTGTAATACCTCCGTTGGTCCCGGGACTGCCGAGTCAGCAGCCGTGCCATGCGCTGGGAAGGGAGGGCTCGCTGCAGGCACAGGCTGGGCACTACCAGGCAGCTTGCAAGGGCAAAAGTGTGGCAAGCTGGGGAGGGGTTTGGGGAGGCCTCAAGCTTGAATTCCTGGCTGCTTTTTGCCTGCGCAGGTCTTTCCTGCAGCAGTTGATGCTTCTTATTGCCAATGCCTTTCCAAAGGAGGCTCCCGCACTGGGCCAAGCCCGCGGTGGTTGAGCGCTTTCTCGGCTGGAGCAGGTGG